GTAATGTTAAAGACAATTTTCCATGAGGACATCATAAGCTCTGTCGAAATATTTAACTAATAATCATAATGTACTTTCTATCTAATTTATCTTCATTCTTTACTTCGTTCGTGATAATGTATCTTCAGAAATCTTTTGTTCTTAAGTCTTAAATAATGTAAATAATGACTTTTACCTTCTTAATGTAGTATGTAGTCATCTCGCTTAACATATAATATTCATCGTATATTTCAATAAATTATAAATAATATATTGTAGAGTCATACAACACTCATCGAATATTGTTAAGAAATTCATTCGTTTTGTTCCGAATCTTAATAATTGTTATAGATATATTTATGGATTTTTATGTGAACAGCAAATGAAGGTAATTAATAGATTTATTATGAAAGAATTTTTTTAGGTCTTGTTGATTTTTATTACGAGTAATTTATCTTTACGATTTTTTCTATTTAATTGGATTTTTGTTGTACTTTCTTTGAGTTAAATTAAATCAAATGATTATTTTATTATCATATTCGTTAATTTTTTTTTTAAAAAAAAAGGATGAGAGAGTGAAGTTAGTTGAAAAGTCATGCGAAATGGAACCATATATATAGATTAGAATTGGAAATGTGACTTGGACCAAAAATCGTGGGTGATGATACCAACCAAGCCTTTGTCTTTCATTTATGGACTTTTTAGATTGAGATTACCGACTTATTTTTTATCTCATATATCAATCAAATTTACAAGATCACATTTTATTTGTTTTGTAAAAATCATTTGAATTTTTTAGGATCCCTTAAAAGCAGATTTGAATTTAGCAACAAATTATTCTATAAAGTATCAAACAATGACTTCAAAATTTCCCTCTTTTCTTAAAGAATAAAATAATGGTTTTAAATTCATAACACCTTTCCTTAAGGAATAAAATAATGACTTCACTTGTAATCCTTTACTTAAGAATAAAATAATGGTTCATAAATCCCTTATCTTATAAAGGTTTCAACATTTGTAAATAATGACTTCAAAATACCATTATGGACTTTATTAGACGCCTCAAATGGTATACAAGTCGAAAAAAAAAGAAATTTACATTAAATATCTTAAAAAAGAATTATATTATATGATTATTTAAAAGAAATCAGATATTATCAATAAATTATAAATTTATTTGTTTCATTTATTAATTTATCAATAAGGGTATTTTTATCTGATTGAAATAACGATCAGATTTAAATATTTGAAACTTTTAATTGCATCCGATGAATTTGAGACTTTATATAATGACCATCAACCTCTGGTTCTTTATAAGGATTTTAACATTATAACAAAATATTTACTATATCTTCATTTCGTCTTGTAATAAAACATAACGATACATATAAATATTAGAGATGTGTAAATATGATTTAAATTATTAAAAATTATTGATTTATTGATGTTATTTTAAATTTTATTACTTAGATAATTTAATAATATGTTTTTTTTTCTTTTTATTTTACAAGTATAGCAGTTATGTACTGAAGAATGATCTCAGCAGCAAGTTGCGTTTACTATTTCCAATCGTTTTGTATGTTGGTAGGTGTTTAGATAATTATGTCAAATGTGATTTTTTTGCTTCAGAAAGTTCGACCGTAATTTTATAAAAGATATAAGATTAAATATTAGTCAACAAACATTGCGAAGGTAAATTTTTATTTTATTATATTTTTTTATTAGAATAAATAGATACAAAATTTGATTCTGTAAATAAATTCCTTTTAACTTACGAACATTAATACTACTCTCATTGATAAAAATCAAAAAATGAGCATAAGATTATCTTGATGAATTCGCTAAGGAAATGAACTTCTGAGACTATTTCAAAGGTCTTTTTCCTAGCAAACCTCCCATCCCCCTTCCACCTCTTGCGGCATTGATGATATAGACTTAGTAAATGTAATTACAGCACTTTTGCATTTCAGATTATTCCCAAGATTCGTGGTATTAATTATAGTTATTTTCATATTTAATAAAATGATATATTAATTAATTCAAATGATTAAAATTGTAAGTATAAAAGCTTTTAATCTTAATTTATATTTTTTCTATTAATTATGATAACAATAATATAAATTTTTAGATAAGAAGAAGGAATATTTTAAAAAAATACAAATTGGAAATAAAAGATAGAATTTAACTTTCCTTATCTATAATATAGTACCAGTCATAACAAATTCTGGAGTCGGCTCAGTCAGCCGTTAAACACTTTTCAGTCGACGACTGAGTTGACACAGTCGCCATAATTGTATTATTAGTATCTTAATATTTAACAATATTTTTAAATTTTAATTAATGTTGCAAAATGTAGATAATTACAAGTTTAATCATAAATAAAGTTGTCGGAATCCCATTCGATTAAAATTTAAAAATTTGAAGTATTATTTAATTAAAAATTTCACAATATTCTGACCTTATGTCAAATTTGGAACTGCGGCTCATTCACGGTTCAATCATTGAAAATTTCGGAATCGACTCTACTTGATTTTTATCGTCGACTCTGCTGGTTGTATTTTCAATTGAAAGAAAAACTTGATAAAATTCATTAATTTTCGATCGACTGATAATTTATACTTAAAGTTTTAAGTAATTTTCAAAGAAAAAAAGACGAATGAAGTGCAAAAGTGCGTTCAACAATAAAGTGAGATCTCGTACTACCAAAACCCGACCGTTGTTGTTTTCTTCAACTTCTATACAATATACTCTCATTAAACGTGATGAAAAAATTCGAAGTACTGGTTCTAATATTCTGCATGCTATTGAATTTTGGTTTTAAATATATATATATACACGGGTCAAGGATTCAATGCTATGATTGGCGCAGCAACTGCGGTGCATAGCAAATTTCTGCATATCTCGTTTTTGTTTAAATTTATTATATCTGCTAGTAAATTGAAACAACGATTTGTATAATAGATCGGAATTCAATCTAGAGAAAAACAGAGAAAATAGCAAGTCGTAAAAGTTTCAAAAGATTTAATTAGACTATTCTAGTTGTGGTGATAAGTCTAAAGAAAAGGAAGGCTTGTAGATTTCCTAATTAATAAAGTTGTTTATTTTCCTTTCAATCTTCTTCGTGTCTTCATAAAGGTTTTGATGCGATAACTAACTATACACTAGCGAATCGTAATAATTAAATACTACATAATTATGCATTAGACGAACTTAATAAGAAGTAAATAAGTTAAGTGTTTGCTGACTTGAGAAAGCAAGGAAATCCAGGTCAACACCGTCAATTTTCGTCAACATAATTTGATAAGCAAAAGGTCGTGTGCTGCGTCGTGATATTTTTTGTCTTTACCCACTCTCTCAATTTTTTTTTTTTTTTACCCAACTTTTTGTGATTTATTAAAATATTTCATCACAAATGTCAATTGGGTTTGAATTAAATTTTAATATAAATATCCACATATGTGATACGTTTAAATCTAGAATATAAAAAAATTTGATAATTTATATTATATGATATTTCAAGCTGCTCGACGTCGCACTTCAATTCGTATTAAATGATTGTGTCGATGGGACCGTTATAAATAGGTTTCATCAATATAGATAATCCGCGTATGACTGGTGAAATAATTAATCTAATTCGGCCATCTAAAAAAAAAGGTATTGTAACACGAATAATTCGATATTTTTTTGTAATAGTTTCGTACATTAAAAATAGATTATTTTGGATTAAACCAACATAAAAATTGTGACCGTTTAATTGGTACAAATGTAGTTTTTCCACAAAATGCGTTTTAGTAAAGAACTTCATGATTGAGGATATAATTCAAGAAGGATGAGAAAATAATATTAATATGATATTGATATTTGTAAGAACATGAGGTTTTGGAAATGAATTTCAGGCTACATACATTTGCTTTTTATCGATTTTTGGCTGCTTTCATCCGTAGGTTATGCCTTTTATATTTAATTAATTAAATAAAATTAATTAACAAGTTAGGCCGATTTCTATAAAGACTTGAAATCTTTTTCAAATATAGGACACAACACATGAGAATTGATTTTTAATGCATCCCAAGGAACTTAGAATAGTTATAATCTTAATTACCTTAATTGAAAAGGTAATTTTTATTTTCGGTTAAAGAAATTTCCAAGAGATCATTTACCAGTCCTAGTTAATTGCATCCAAATTTTCAAAAAAAAAAAATTTGCTATAAACAATGTTTTGGTATTTATTAATTAAATGGATCCTTAATTTATTTCCGCATTTGTCAATCGTGTCATTATAAACTGCTGCACAAATAAATGCAATTTATACCCCTTGTACTCTCATCAAGCTTAAAACAAAGACCAAAAAAAAAATAAAAATAAAAATATTTCTTTTTTTCCTGATATCTGTATAAATAAATACTAGTTTCTTACACAAACGATTTCAGATCGTTACACCCGTCATTTTAAAAAACAACCTTAACTTTTTGTTTTTCTTTTTTTTGAAAAAAAAAAAAAAATAGATAAATAAACCGTATGCTTTTTTTAAAAAAATTTGATTTCTGATTTGAACGTAAAGAACAATTTTTATTAAAATGTCTGAACTTATTGAAAATCAACTATGTTCCAATTGTAATCAACCTGAAACTGGTTCGTTTTGGTGTTATTATTGTAATTACAAAAGGTTTCAACAAGATTTCAATAAATGGACTAGTGGAAATGAACATATAGATAAATTCATTCGAGATGCACAATTAAATGCGATGAGTAGTGAAGAAATTATAGAATGGATCCCTTATGATCGATTTAGAAACATACAATTCCTGGCTCAAGGTGGTTTCAGTACCATTTATAAGGCCATTTGGTTGGATGGATACATTCGTAGGGATGGTAAGGACAATCAATGGGAAAGGTTCTTTGTACCACTTATTAAAGAAGATTATGAACGTGCAAATCTTGAAAATATTACAGCCCCCCTTAAAGAAAATGAAAAAATCGGCTTGTATATTGTATTAAAAAAGTTGACAAATTCATCAAAAATGAATGAAAATTTTTTAAATGAGGTAAAACCAATTTAACAAAATATTTCTATGTTATATATGAAATATGTTATCACGAAAAAACTAAAGATATTGATTGAATTGTGATTTTAGTGGAAAAATCATTTAGAATTTGCGCATTCAGCTCAACACAATCAGTTTACATCCCCAACTAGATTATATGGAATTACGCAGGATCCTGAATCATTAGATTATATGATTGTATTAAAGATGATGAAGCTTGGAAGTTTGAGATCCAATTTGATGATAAAGAAATATAATCCAAATGATAAATATTATAATTTATATTATGTAGCAAGGGCACTTTTAGCTTTGCATAAATGCAATTTATTTCATGGTGATTTCCATAGTGGGAATTTATTATTATCCGGTCGAGTATTCACTTATATAAGTGATTTGGGATTAAGTAGACCAATAGATAAACCTAATGAATCAGATGAGATATATGGTGTGCTTCCTTATATAGCGCCGGAAGTATTGTTGAAAAATCCGTATACACAAGCCGCTGATATTTATTCATTTGGTATTATAATGTGGGAGATGACCTCTGGTAATCCTGCTTATAATGATAGACCTCACGATTATATTCTTGCTTTAGAAATTTGTAACGGATTAAGACCAACGATTGTTGAAGGTACTATGCCCAAATATATAGAATTGATGGAAAGATGTTGGAATTCCGATCCCAGTCAAAGGCCAACCGCTGAAGAATTGGTAATACATTTTAAGGAATGGAGGGGTAGATACTTGATCGGTGAGAGTGTTCAAGTACCAGGTCAATTATTAATTCACATCGATTTTAAAATATTTATTTGACCAATTGAGCAACAAATAATAATGATTTTTTTCTTTGTTTTAGAACATGAATATGTTATTGAAAATCATCCATTATCTTGCTACACGAGCAAGAAAATCAATTATTCTGCAAGGTTGGTTGAAAGCTTAAATCGAACAGAATTAAGTTCTGAGATTATAATTAAAGATGAAACAATGATAAGTGAAAGCTTAGGTAATACCCTTTCACCTGTTATTGTCCCTATAAACCTTTAATTATTTAAATATTATTAAATATTTAAATATTTATTTATTTATTTAGAAAACTGTAGGATAACTTCAAAAATAGGTAATTATTTCCTTAGTATAAATCTACTTGATTTCATACTATTAATTTATCAATTTATTATTATTGTAGCAAGGGTATAAAATTTCTATTTATCTTAATATTATTTCATAGATATTGCGCAGTAATATCAAGATGAAATGATGAATATGATTAGATACCTATGTTACGTTCTTTGCATAAAAAAGGCGTTACAAAGGAATCATGCATTCCACAGCATCGGCGGGAGAAAAAAGCTAGAATTTGGGTTATTCGTGACATACGACTTATTACTTTTGGCTCTGAGAACGAACATAAATTATCCATAATCACGAGAAAAAAGGACAAATATATTACATAGATTATAAATAATTTTTAATGTTACATGATAGACAAAACTCAGAATATATCTTTTTGAGTTTTTCGATATATATTATTTAAAGGAAAAGCGGATTATAGTAATTATATATATACTGTATATTGTAAATATCCTAATTATTAAATAGTAATTAGTAATTATAAATTTTTTATTAAATAATAGCAGATGTGGTTGCCTTTAAAATTATTTAGGTTGATTGTAATTGTGGGAAAATATTTTATTAGATCACATCGAATCAATCATTTAAATATATTAAAAGTAATAAATAAATTTATTTAAAAGATTATTATTATTGTTATGAGTTCAAGATTTCCTCTTCAATTATCTTTAACATTTAACAGATCTTTAATCTCTCTATAAATGGTGTGAGTATGAACAAGAGTGGTCGACATACTGTATCCGCGGGATCATAATAATTTAGTGATCAAATATTCTTGCCAAAATATGGTGATTTTATGGACCATCATTTCGGGGTGCGGTATCTAGATAAGATGCATAATGCCTTGAGGTACAAGTTTGAAAGCTAATGCTTGATAACTTATCGTTTATATTTTGATTTCGCTCTATGTCTGCGAGTCTAATACTTTTTTTTTTTTAAAAAAAAAAAAGAAATATCTTTTCAAGACATCATCTATTTTATAAAGTCTACCTAAAACTATTTCTTTTATTACATGCACTAATAAAGTTTCCCGTGTTTCTCGCACGAAACGTTGATGTTTATTATTATTTAAATTGCTAAAACTATGTTGCCATCATATGGGTCATAAGCTATTAAAATTAGGTTACGAGACATAGTAAATCATATCTGAACATGAGTTTTAATAGCAAACCTCCCATATATGAATTATTTATTAACGTTAAATGCCTTAAGACAAGTTTAACATCTATGAACGTATTTACCCCGCCGAAATAATTTACTTTTCTTATTCTATTATGGATTTGGTGGCGTCACTACTCAATGGTTACCTTTCGCTCAAAATTATGTTAATTAATACGAATAAGTATAACGTAATGAAAACCTTTCCTTCATATAGTTTTTTGATTAATTTCCTCTACTAACACTATAATTCCTTCAGCGTTACTTGGATTAAGTTAGTAATGTCATTTTTACTTTCTTTTGTATCAATAAAAAGCTCTACCAGTAAGTTCTTATCTCGAATTCTTTTAATGCCGATTTCATTGAAATTGGAATTATTCATACTTGGTCATTCGACTAAACTATGATTTATATTTAGTAATGTATAAATTATTAATACAAACGTTTATTTCATCAAATCTCAAAAATATATGATTCCTAGAAACTTACTTCTGCGTATTATTTTAGTTACTCATTCCTTAATTCTTTATCGATTTCATATATTTCTAAATATATATATAAATGTATAAATAAGTCACTTTTCGTTAAATGTAAAAGGAATCGGCTTCAAATAATGTTATATTTACTTACTCTACTGAATTTGGTAACTATATCCTATTAAATTTTTCCATCTTTGTTCCGAGAATAAGTAACGCCGTGACTATCACTGGACGAATTTTCTTGAAAGTTCTGACCGTGTTATCACCATATGGGGCGATGTCGTTAGAAACACCCTAACTTGGTTATTTATTATTTGTTTGATGGTGCGTTTCTAAAGACGAAGCAGCCCCAAATATGTCACTATGGCATTTTTCTTCATTGTAGTTCTTAATTTATCTAGAGTACGTGGATTTCAAGTGATTAAACTCACCATATGATAGGCCTGCATTATGCATAACCCCTAAACCTACATGACAAATTTCTAAGTCCCTCAAATAAATAGTAAAAATGAATCAAGGCGGAGTGATAAATATTGCAATCACGTGATCGCAAAATTTTTTGATGTTTATATATGGTGAGTTAATTCAAAAGGTCTACTCAAAATTCTCAAAATGAATGCAAATATTAATGAACAAGTAGAAATTTTTAAATCATTAATAAAAAAAACAATACCAAGGAATGTTTTGATATTGAAGAACTGATTCTTTCGTTTTTTTTGCATCCTCTTAAAAAGAAATCTAATCCTTTCAAAAACAGAACAACTCAATACCACTTTGAATATTATTCTCAACCTTCGTGAATTATTATCATCAAATAACTTAGAGATCAACCCCGAAATTATAAATATTAATTATATTTGCTCCGCATTAATCAATGAAGACAATAAGGTATTAATTTAATGAATTTTCTATATAGGAAAATACTTTGAAACTTGGTAATACTTGATGCGACATGAGGTGGTGGAAAAGAAATATCAATGTCAGCCTCGTGTCCTGATACTGAAATTTATTTTCTTGTAAAAGAGAGAAAAAAAAACAAAAATTTGTTTATAACAATCCTAATTATTTTTAATTATTATTATTCATCAGCTTGTAAATCAAACCATAGAAGAATTATGGAATAACATTGAAGGTTATTTGAAGGTATCACGTCAATTAGAAATGATTGATAAAGAAACCCAAAGAGCAATTACTTAAGGCGAATTCGATAAAAAGATTTATGATCTTGAAAATAAGATTCGCGATCTCGATAGCAGGGTTAGTGGTCTCGATGACGAATTTGAAGACCTTGAAGGTAGAATAGATGAAATTGAAAATGAGAATGAATGATTTAAAATGATCAATATTTTTACTGTTTGTAGCCCAATGTTAATTATTATTTTTATTGATCATATGAATTATCATTACGAGTAGATTAAATTTTTAAATGCAAGGTGGAATAAATGATTGAAATGATTATTCTGATTGAATAAATTGAATCACGTTTTATTCATTAATCAATATAAGGTTGAAAAGAACGCGTCATGTGAAAATTTAATTTTGTGTGATTATAAAAGCAATGTCATGAAAAAGGAAACAAATGATCAAATCCGAAATTGTTAAATGACCGATATAAAATGTCTGAAAAGTTACTTTATTAGAATCGTTTAAAATTTTTGAGAAAAAAAAAAGATTGAGGTAATTAAATTGTTAAATTATTAAATTTCAACAGACGATTAAATTTACATTATAAATTATTAATTGTTTGATTTGGATACATTTTCAGAGACGTAATCCCATTTTATAACAAATTTCACAATTTGAAATTTTGAATTTTAAGATATTTCGCAATCTAACATACAATAAAAATGTCAGAACTTTTTAAGAATTTCGTGAAATAACAATAATGGTTTAATATTATAAATTAAGAAATATTAACCTTACCTATGAAAAGTAAGAATCTACCCAGAATTTACTTGCAATAAATTACTGGCACGAAATGTGACACATCTGAATAATATTGGCGAGGCTTTCCAGACATTAAAAGGATTACTGTATATTATATTCCTGTTTGAATTTTAGAAGACCTATCTTTTCACGCTCAAATATAAATTCACCCTCTTCAGTATCTAATTAACCTTCCTTTAATAGTCTAGCTTACATTTCAAATCCATTGCAACTTTTACCTCTTTTGCTTTCCGATTTCTTTAATGATGTTTATCAGCAGAGGGTTTTGCGGTTTCTAGGTTTCAGAAGTAACAATGATCTCAAAATTTTGCTTATGTACCGTATTTATTCATATTTTACTGAATGTACCTTGGCACTTCTTCTCTCAAGTTCATTAATAGGCTGAACTGTTTGCAATATTTGGACCACCACCTGTGCGAGATGATAATACTGTAAAAAAGAATATGCAAATAAAAACCAATCAAAGTTAGTAACAAATGTATGCTGAATCTGCGAAGAATCATTTTTTTTCAAAATTCAAACTTAGGTGAATAATGTGAGTTCGTTTGCTATTAAAGTTGAGTCATGAAAGATTTCGAATTTTCAAACTTCGTGTTGGTAGTAGGTTCAAATTCCAGGATGAAGATAGAAACAAAGAATTCATTTCGAAGAACGACCCTCATACTCAGCTATCTAAAGTGAATATTATGTACCAAGGAAGATTCTTTCGTAAAGGGTAAAGGTAGAGTCTCGAGTTGGTGGGAGGAAAAGCTAACAAATTAATTTACAAGACTGAGAGATATAGCGCAATCCATCATCTTTTTATCATTATCACTGATTTTCTTTAGTGCTGTCAGAATTTTTTTGGTAGGCTCCTAAAAGTATGTAAATGCCTTAGTAGCTATTATAAGACTATAACTTATGGAACGTTTTTAGAGTTCCGCCGAGTCAACTTTTAAACTCTAAAATGTGTATAAAGAATATAACCATCAAAGTTTCAGTTGTTTATTTATCGGGAAGAAAATTCATCGAAAACGTGAAAATATTATACGTAACGGTTTATAGCATAGTTACAATTAAATTATTATTTATTTTTTTGAGAGGAGACATTAACGTTAAATCAATCATAATTTCACGTGATATTCCTCGTCATTATCACACATTATTTAATCAAAAATGAGTATGAATTCCCCAATTTAGAAATTCAATGCGATCAATAATGTATATAAGTTTACTAAGCACCTCTTTTTCTCACAACTCTCTCTCATTAAAAAAGAAATACCAATCTCTTACAAATAATAAAAATAAAAAAAAAGGAATGTCTACTATTCCTTCAAGAAAAAAAAAGATTTCGTCATCAAGGCATATTCCTTTATGTTGGCTTTTTCTTTTCTCTGTCAACAATTTAACGACAATGTCAAACCGTCCTAATGATTAGAATATTTCAACTGGACTGCATGTCTTTACATGTTTTACTTGTTTGGAGGTTCAATGATGTCGTATGGATCGTTCGTGATTACTAAACGCTCTTATTGTATTGAAAGACCTCTTGCTATTTTTCCTTAGCGAAGACAAATCAACCTTGGTTGGTTATAGAAATGCCAAAATACCTTACTCTGTCTTACCCATCAATTTTTTCATTTTATATTTTTTAATGAAATAGTCCCTCGCTCGCTCGAAGAACCAAATCGGTTTACCCCTACTCCTTCTTCCGGTCTATAAGAACTGGCTAAGTGTAAGTATTTCCTGTTCTACAATATAACGACGATGTCAAACTGTCCTAATGAACTAGAATATTTCAACTGGACTGCATGTCTTTACATGTTTTACTTGTTTGGAGGTTCAATGATGTCATATGGATCGTTCGTGACTACTAAACGCTCTTATTGTATTGAAAGGCCTCTTGCTATTTTTCCTTAGCGAAGACAAATCAACCTTGGTTGGTTACAGCAATGCCAAAATATCTTACTCTGTTTTTACTGATTAATTTTCATTTCTTTTTAATGAATAGTTCCTTCCTCACTTACACGGAGAACCAAACCAGTTTTACCCCTACTCCTTCCGGTCTATAAGAACTGGCTAAGTGTAAGTATTTCCTGTTCTACAATATAACGACGATGTCAAACCGTCCTAATGAACTAGAATATTTCAACTGGACTGCATGTCTTTACATGTTTTACTTGTTTGGAGGTTCAATGATGTCGTATGGATCGTTCTTGACTACTAAACGCTCTAATTTTTTTGAAAGGCCTCTTGCTATTTTTCCTTAGCGAAGACAAATCAACTTTGGTTGGTTATAGCAATGCCAAAATACCTTACTCTGTCTTACCCATTAATTTTTTCATTTTATATTTTTTAATGAAATAGTCCCTCGCTCGCTCGAAGAACCACATTGTGTTGAGCAGGGTGGACATACTTCATATTATCACATTTGTTGATCATTTTGCCGATCATTTGCCGATCATTTGCCGATCA